CAGGTGTGGTCATCATGTTCTCTTTTCTTGTTCTATTAAAAAAATCTTGTAGCAGGATTAAATAAGGGGGGATTTAATGCAACAATTTTATTTTTTTATGTCAATCGTATAAAAATTGTATTTTTTATTAAAAATTAAAATAAAATATTTAACTTACCAAAACAAACATTTAAATTTACAATTATTATGATAAAATTTTTATTTACTTTTGATCTCTTTTTTTTAAATCACATAATATTTAATCATATAAAGAATTAAGGAAAAAAATGATTAATTCTATATTACGCGTTACCGATTATTTCTTCCCTATGTAGTAAAGCATGAGTGTGGCAACCATATAAATGCGAATGCGGTTCTCCTTAGACTTCGTAAGATCGATTGACTGTCTATATCTAAAGACAATAATAAAACTTAAAGGATATAAATTTGGATAATGAAAAAAATGATATTAAGATACGAATATTAATATTTCTTTATTGAGAATTTAAATAATTTAAATTAATATATTTACTTATATTTTTCAGTTATTAGTGGACCAAGTGACAATTTTGGAAACTATGACACCGTTGGATTTTATGGCATTCAGAGATTATCTATGTCCAGCCTCGGGCTTTCAATCGCTACAATTTCGTTTGTTAGAGAATAAATTAGGTGTAAAACAAGAGCATAGAGTTAAGTATAATCAAAATTACACGAGAGTATTCGGAAGAGATCCAAAAGCTATTGAGGCGATTAAACGTTCAGAAGAAGAACCTAGCCTCAGTTGTCTCGTTCAAAAATGGTTAGCGAGAACACCAGGTCTTGAAACTCACAATTTCGATTTTTGGGAAAAATACAAAAGATCCGTGGAAAATCTACTCGACGAACAAGAGCAACTTGCTCGAGTAATCGTTTTTTTTCAATTTTGAATGTACGAATAACTTTATTAAAAAATTGTTAATGTTTCTTATTATTTTCACAGAAATACACAAAGGAGCAACTCAGAAATTATCATTTAGCAAATGTACATTCTCGAAAAGCAGTATTCGAAACGATCTTCAATGAATCTCTTCATAATGCACTCGTATCTCGAGGAGAAAGAAGATTCGCGTATGCCGCTCTTCAAGGAGCAGTATTAATCACATTATACCGAGATGAACCAAGATTTAGTCAACCTCACCAAATTTTGAACGCATTAATGGACATTGATTCTTTAATTACTAAATGGAGGTGTAAGAAAAGAAAAATTTATTTAATTAATTTAAAAAAATTTCAAATGTATCATTATATGAATAATTTTTTTTTCTTTGTTCATTAGATAATCATGTTTTAATGGTTCAAAGAATGATTGGATCTCAACAACTCGGAACCGGAGGATCTTCAGGATATCAATATTTAAAATCAACTTTAAGGTTAGTTAAAAAAATATATTATATATTTATAGGAAATATTATAATATTATTATAATAGACACATTTCATCAATAATTTCGATTTTTCATCAATAGTGACAGGTACAAAGTATTTTTGGACTTATTCAATCTATCCACATTTTTAATACCTCGCCATATGATTCCACCATTAACGAAAGAAATGAAATCAATGTTATCTGTTTCCTACAATGGTTGGAATCCAGATGATAATTAAAACAATTTTAAATGTAAAATGGATATAAAAAGAAATGATGATTATAATTTGATAATACCTTAAACATCAGAATTAAGTAGTAAGTATTAAGATAATAATAGAAATATCGAATGCATAAATATAATATCGACAATAAATCTTTATTTTATTTCATTATAATATATATTAAAATATTTATAAAAAAATATGTAAATGACTGTATAGAGATAAATATACAGTACAATATTAACGTAAATATTCTGTCAATTGTATAACAAATATTGGAATTATAATTTAATATATATTATTATTATTATTAATATTATTGTCGTTTCTTATCTCGATTAAAGAACACATTATATAAATTTATATGCATTTTAAAATTGACATAAATATTTCTTCAAGTATTTTCATTTATATTAATGGATTATATTAATTTTAAAAAATATCCAATGATGAGACTTGATTCGCTATACCTGTTAACAAAAAAATATTTAATATAAAAAAAATAAGCTTCTAAAATATGTATTTAAAAAATCTATACCGCATAAATTATTTCCTATTCCTATGTACATATAGCCTTTGTCTCCGAAATTTGATCCCCATGAGTTTTTTATAATATAATGTGGTACGGCAACTGATTTATCATATCCTATTATTTGTACAGCATGATTCAGATTATCAAAAGAACCATCACAATGATATTGTATTACTCCACCTAAATAGTTTTGCCATGATAAAGCATTTACTGCTGCCGCTACTGGTCCATGAGTGGCCAGTGCTATCAATAACTCATCCTCTGCATCTACGAAACTAAAATCCGTTAAATCTTTAATCTTCTTAACGGCAAATATAGCAGACGATAGATAGACCATTTCCAAATATTGATGAACAAATAAGTTAAAAATTTGAATCTACTAGAAATTTTAATCTAATTTAATTTTTAATATAATTTAATTTCACACACAATTAGATTAATGAAAAAATAATCTAAGATTTTTATTTTTTCGTATAAATTCAATAATATCAATGCATAGATGATATGAGAATGTCAATAATTAGCTTATGTAAAGAAATCTTTAGATAATTACATTAGATATCATTCTTTTATCAATTGAATGTTTAATATTTAAAAATAATCCATCATTTAAAATCATATCAATATCATATAATTATAAGTAACATTTTCTTACCTATCACACGTAAAATCTTGTATTTTTATACCAAATGCTTTATCTGTCATTCTATAAAAACGATATATATTATTTAATTCGATCCATATCTTACATATATTCAAATATAATTGTTGCGATATACTTACTTTCCAAGTTTACATGTACCCGTCATTCCTACGAGCGGATAAATAGATTCTTGAAGTATCTGAACTTTTGATACTAATAACCACGAGAGCAAACTGCATATATCTCCTCCTTCACATCCAAAATTACTATTTTTCGCACAATCAATCATCTGATCAATCAAAGAAATTAAAAAATGATATTTTCTATTTTTTATTAATTTTAAAATATATATGAAATATCCTACTTCTTGCACGCTCAAAGAATGTAGAGTGCCATTCTTGATTGCAAACATTGATTCAATAACTTCAATAGTACTAAAAGCCCAACAAGCACCACAAGATCCTTGACTACGTACTGGAGTTATTACTCCTTTATCTCTCCAATCGAATCTTGAAGGTATACTAATTGATCTTTTCATTCGATCGGTAGATACCTGATGCTTGCGATGATACGGCGCATTTTTGTGTTTTTCTCCTAACAAATTATTTATTTATTTCTAATAAATATATGCTGTTTTATTTCTTCACGTAAATATAATTAAATTAATTACAATCTTTTTAAAATGATACATAAAAACATTTTAATTATAAAAATTTAAAAAATAATCATCTTTTTTCATAAGATTCTTTTTTCATTCTATTTCTTACCTCTTATTGGTAAGTCAGGTAAGAGGGTATGTAGCAAAAATTCGTCTTCCGACATATCAGAAAATTCAGTGAGTCCGTAATAAGCACTTTCTTGTGATGATCGAAGACCATTCATTCTTTCTATATGTTGCAACGATCTCTGCAATAAGGATAATATTTTTAAATCTATTAGAATTATATAAAAGAAATTAATTATTTTTTTATATAATACAAAAAATAATTTATAATATTTTATATTATGTATGTATGTTTTATTATAAGTATTATAGAGATTTCAATTTCATATTTTCTTGATATGTATCTTTAAATTTCATAATCAATTATCAATTGTATAAATATATCGAACATTATACTATCAAAACAAGCTATATATTATATCTAACTATCATATGATTTCGAAATATATTTTGGAAAATAGAATAGATAAAAATAAAAATGAAGAATATATATAACAACGCGGGAAATTTTTAAAACTATTATCTGTCAACAAGAATGAAATTTTTGAAAATAAAAATACATTGTGTGAAATTGAATTGTTTATGTAATAATTTTATGAATGATTTCTCATGGCTTACCTGAAAGCGTTTAAATCTTTCTTCGTATTCTGATGGATCATTTTTGTAAGATTTATTGTAGCGAACAACATAATTTTGAAAAAGTTTAATATCTTCATTATTATCTGGATCCACCTTAATTGGTATTGCCAAAAAACATAAACTTACAACTAATATTGTAAATGCTATTGTTTTCCACTCCATATCAAGGATAAGACATAATTCCGAAGCACAGTAAAGCAACAAATGCATACACAAGTGTATCTTCATTTCATGACTCAATAGAATATACATATATAACATTTATATAAAGATGTATCACGATATGCATGTGTGTTTTGATAGCACCAGGGACGTAAGAAGTAAATCTAATTAATCTTGTAATGACGGTCAATATTTTTTATATTTTTCAAAAAAAAGTTTATAACAAATATAGAATTTCATAATATTTATTTATTATCTTATAACATTTTTAAATCTACTTTTATTAAATTTAAATTATTATTTTATTTTTTTATATACATTAAAATTATCAACAAATATATCTATATTTTTTTTTGTATGAGATAAATATACATCAGGTGTATATATATATATATATCAGTATAAAGGTTATCTAATAATAAATTTATCATTTAATGATTTGCATATTTATTTAAGAATAATTACATACTCTAAAGAATACACTAATTTTTCATTGTATTACGAATGTGTGTGTGTGTGTGTGTGTGTGTATTTCAAATATCTAGTGCTTTTTCTAACTTTTAGATCTACGAATCTAGTAACATATTAATTTTAAGACTAATTCTATTTTTTTATTAAAAAAATATTAACTATTTTTATAAAAAAAAGTAGTGTAAATAATCAATATTTTTAAGTAATATTTTTTTATCATAAATATTTTTTTATTAACACTAATATGATGCTATATACAAACATCATTTCCGCTTCCAGTTAAGTCTTTTGGATTTTCGATGCCTTTTGTATCGTCAGCATAAAACATGGATAACCGTTCCATTTCAAAGAAGAGAAAGGTTTGTGAATTTCCATAATTTATAATTAATATTTTATAAAAATATGATGTCGATTATAATAATTAAACTTTTATAAAAAGTATTTTATTATAAAATAGGCATAAATGACATGTGAAAATTATAGATGACATGGATACTTTCAGCTGTTTTTCTTTGATTTAATATGATCATAATCTTTATATTATGAATATATTCTAAATATCTTATTTTTATAAGTATTGAAATATATTATATATATTAGATTAGATTAAGCAAGTTAAATTAACAAAGTTATGTTTTACATTTTATAAATTTGTGTTTATATCAACAAATTTTAAGGTTAGTTTGTAATCTTTTAAAATTGTATTGTAATAATAATAATGAATAATTTTATTTTTTAGTTTGTTGGAGATGGAGTTTTCAAAGCTGAATTAAATGAGTTCTTAACTCGTGAACTATCAGAAGATGGATATTCGGGAGTTGAAGTACGCGTCACTCCCCATCGTACAGAAATTATCTTGCTAGCAACTCATACGCAAAGTGTTCTTGGAGAAAAAGGTCGTAGGATTCGAGAATTAACTTCTGTTGTACAAAAACGATTTAATTTCAAAGAAACACAAAATATTGAATTATATGCCGAAAAAGTAGCAACACGTGGTCTTTGTGCGATTGCTCAAGCAGAATCTCTACGTTTTAAATTAATTGGAGGTCTTGCTGTACGAAGGTATAAATCATATTATTATCTTGTATATTATTATATATTATTATATATAAATCTTGTATATTATTTTTATGTAATTACAGAGCTTGTTATGGAGTACTTCGTTTTATTATGGAATCAGGAGCAAAAGGTTGTGAAGTGGTTGTTAGTGGTAAATTACGTGGACAAAGAGCAAAATCAATGAAATTTGTTGATGGATTAATGATTCATTCTGGAGAACCAACTAATGAATATGTTAATACTGCAACTCGTCATGTACTTCTTCGACAAGGTATGTTTAGTAAATGAAAAATAATAAAAAAAAAAATTTTTTAATTTAAATTAAATGTTTTATATTAGGTGTACTTGGTATCAAAGTAAAAATTATGCTCCCATATGATCCTCATGGCAAGACAGGTCCTAAAAAACCTCTTCCAGATTCTGTTTCAATTGTTGAACCAAAAGATGAAGTTTTTCCTTCGCAACCAACATCTGAAGTAAAAGCATCAAAGGATTTACCACAACCAATACCACTTGCAGTGTAATTTATATAAAAGTGAAAATAAACTTTTAAAAGAAATATTTTTTTTTTATATTTATTTAATTTATTTTGATGAAAATATTTTATTTTCTTTTTAATATAATAACAATAGTATAAAGAAAGAAATACAGTAAGAACATTCTCTTTCATAAATGCAACATAACAAAAAAAAAATTAATTTTTATATATGATAAATTTCTATATAATTTTTATATGTTCATGAAAATTTCATAATTCAATTTAAACTTAATTTAATATTTAGCACGATTTGTAAATGACATTCATTACTGATAGAATTATCTTAAAATATTTTCCGAGACTAGCTAAGACTAAGGTAATACTTAACTAAATACTACTTTACTAAAAGCTTTATGGAATAATCCATATTTGTATTATGTAATAGAAAATTTGTATTGTTCATATAACATGTTAACCTGCATTGAATTTTCCCCCCTAAAAAATAAGAATATCGATATAAACGACAATTAAAATATAACATTTTAAAACATATCTTAATAAATAAGATACAATATATATTGATCAATATTTTCATATTTCTTGTACATAATGTAAATTTGATTTCATGATATCGAATAATAAGAAAATAGAGATATTGAAATTCAAAAAATTAAGAAATATGAATATGGAATCTATAAAATCTATATAGAATAAATTTTAAAGAAATTCATTATAACAAACACATTTTCTCTACTACATATTCATTGAAATTCTATATGATTTAGAATCATATAGAATATAGAATATAATTAAAATCTTATTGTAAATATTATATATGATAAAATATTAAAATTTTAGTTATATATTATATTTATATGCATTTTAATGTTTAGTAAATAAATTCTAAATCTATTTTATTAATAAATTGTATGAAACAATTTCAAAAATGTTATTATTTACTGCATTCAAAAATGAGTACAAATATTAATGAAAATTTCAGAAAATTGTTTTCATTTGTGTTCATTTTGAATAACAGATTATGAGTTTGTAGTTTTTACATTTGCACTCATTTTGTCACTTTATTATATGAAATTATTATTATATGGACCCTAAACCCTAGAAAATTTTATAATTTAATATATCTTTTTAAAATGAGAAGTTACTGACGAAGAGGAGCCATTTGTTGTGTAAGTGACAGTAGACCTTCAATTATTTGTCGTATTATAATTGGCACTGTTGGTTTTCTTGAGACGGAACTTAAACCATTTCTAATTTCATAAAAAACATTGCGAGTGAATGGATTTCTTTGTGATGCAAGACGGAATTTTAAGAATTGGAAGTAAATAAATGGTGTTAATAAACTAGCACGGCCTCTGTAAAATGTTTTTATAAATTAATTTTAAAAAATTAATTTAAAAAACTAATATGTGATACATACGTAAATACAAGAAGAACTGTGAATGGCAAAATAATTATTTCAAATAATCCACACAATCGTAAAATATTTCGTGATTGAAATTCTATTAATGATATTAAAAGACGTGCTCCCCACCAACTATTTTGTCCTAAACACTGATGTAAAAAATAATGATATATAATAAGTATAATTATTATAATTGCCACATATTATCATACTATAATTAAATAATATGACACAGCATTACAAAACAAAATTTTTTTACTTACATCAAGTAATGTGAGAGAATCACTAGCAAAATGCATCAATGCAAATAAAAATATAGGAGTTAACACCACTAATTAATAACATTTAAGAAAAATAATTTTAAGTTACATATTATAAATGTAAAAAAATTTTCCTATATCAAAAAATATTTTATTTTTTCTATTTATTATATTAAAAAGGATACATGTAACAGGAGCTGTATAAAGAAATATTAAAGAATATAATAAATAATGACAGGAATCTTCAACAAATAAACGTTCTAAAAATTGCCTATTAAGTTGAACATGTGGTACTCTTTGATGAAGACGTAATGCACTAGTAGCTGCATTATTCATTAATATTTTATAATAAATATTATAAGGATTGCTGAAATATAAAATATGAAGTTTAATTTTTCAATTCATATAACAAAAGTTTAAAATAACATACCCAAATATTTGAATGATATAACCAATAGTAAATATAATAGTGAAAAGTCTTGTAACCCATAATGCGGCTTTAATCTTATTGTCAATGATATGTTGTCTCAAAGCACCCCAACCTTTTTCCATGTGTACTGAATTGCTTGATGCTGTATCTGCCATTCTATATATTAAAAATAAATCTATATTTTCAATTTGAAAATATTTACGCAAAATTTCTTTAAAATATTTTTTTCCATTTTTTTATCACATTTAAAATATTTATATATGTTACAAAATTATTTAAATGTATTGGTATTTCAAAAAAAATTTTTCAGAAATATATGATAAATGTAAATCACGTCCTATTTTCTAAAGCGAAAGCAGAATACAAGCAGTAAATGAGAAATTATACTAATAAAATATTTTAAACATAATTAAATTTTCATTATTTTTATCAATACTACGAAAAAATTTATATTATTGAATTTTATACTTAAAAAATATAAATAAAAATTTATGTTTTTAAAAAATATTTAACATAATTTTTTATTATACACAAAAATTCTATTTGCATTGAACCAATGAATAATTTCAAGTTTTAAAACGAACTTACTTCATATGATGTTAAACAGTTGTTTATTTAATAAAAATCTCAATTCTTACAAACACTTATACGAATTTATATTGTAAATTGTAACAAGTATAAGGTAAAATATTTAGTAAGTAAATTCACTACCTACAGATCTATAATTTTCACAAGTATCTTAATAAATATTCTGAGTTTCGACTTTAAGATTTTTAATTTCTCTACTAGATGGTGTGGATGATTCGTTGCCTGACGTACTCTATTGGCATCTTATTGAAATATAAAACTATTTTAATAAAAACATCATTTACATAAATGATGTTTTAACTTTAATATTTTTCGTCAATTAAAAATAATAATTTTTTATTGATGCAATTATTGATGTATATAACATCAGATATATAATAACATATTTATTTTATATATTGTAAATATTTATTATATATATTTTTATTAAATATTTATTATCTTTTAAATATATTTTTTTATTTGCAAAATGATTTAGAATTTTTTAAATGATATAGATTTAAAAATATTTATAAAATAAAATTAAATAAAATTATATATTAAGAAACATTTTAATTAAAAATGAATTTTTTTGATACGTTTATAATACGTTTATGATATTGCTAAATTAATATATATTGCTAATAAAAAGATATAATATTTAACAAATTTTTATATGTACTATAATATTATTACACAATCATATTACGTAAAAACATAATCGAAATCATTTGATCACAAAGCAAAATTAATATAAATAACAATATTTAAATTAATTTTTATTTCTTTTATAAATATAAAATTAAAAATAATTTAATAATAAAATAGAAAACATGTGATCTTAATAAATATTCTCAATAAATATATATATTATATATATTATAATTCAGCGTATTTCAAGCGTTATAAAATAACGGTATTAAAATTTGTGGTATATAAAAAGAGTATATACAAAGAGTATAAAGTATTATATTATATTATATTATATTAAAGTATTATATATAAATTTAAACCAATTCTTCAATTATATTCATTAGTTTAGAGCAACTTTATTTTGAGAAAACAATTTTTTATTAATTAAAAAAGATAAATTTAGGAGAATGCTATTTATTAGTTCAATCTGTGTAATATTTATAAGTTTGATTTACTATAATTTAAAACGAAAGTCTCTTCTAATCGAAAGTTTTGTTTGCGAGATAAAATATTTATTATTAGGTTTTAAAGAACTTATAAATGATTGGATAAATGTAAAAAATAATAAGAATGGTAAGTATTCAAGATAATAGATATATTTAATATTTATTATACTATAAAATATGTGATCATATAAAATTTATAAAATATTTTATATTTTCTATATTCTAAAAATAATATATATAACTAAAATTGATTCTCTTTTATTTTTATAAGAAATTTTATATATAAAAAAATTTTCAAATGATAAAAATTAAAATAATAGATATAGATATTTGAATTAATGAATTAAATCAATTATATTGATAAATTAAATTTAACTAAATTTAATCAATTTAATTAAAAATTAAAAAATGATAATGATATTTCGACAAATATTTTTAACAAATAAAAATTATATTTTTTTACATATATGTATATTCATTATAAAAATTATTATATATTTTTTAAATATTTTTTAAGATTATTTACCTCAGACAGGAAGAATTGCTATCGTAACAGGAGGATCCAGAGGAATTGGATTTGAAGTAGTAAAAGCATTTTTAGAACTTGATATGGAAGTAATAATTGGTAGGTTTAAAATTTTGATTACATTTCATTTATTTATTAAATTTTTTTTTAATATTTTATGTATATATATATATATTTT